ACGTGGAAGAGGAGGAACGTGGGATGAGTAGGACAGACCAGGGGGGAGGGGGAGGACGAGGAATGATACCGAATGTGGAAGACTGGGGTGGAGCCGTCGATCATCGCCGCTGACGTGGTCTGTCGCGCGTGCGCCGCCCCCTGGGGCCACGGGGGGTGGGGGCGAGGAGGAGCAGGACGAGGAAGAGGATAACGAAAACAAGGCTGATGATGACGATTATGCTGATGATGAGGAGGGTGAGGATAAGGAAGAAGAGGAGTTGCATGATTATGAGGATTTGGGCGGACGAGGAGCCGATGAGGATGATGAGGGCCATGATGATCCCTACAGGGATCCTGTAGGGTCCCTGTAGGGATCCATAGTGATCCTCTAGGGCCCCTGTAGGGATCTAGAGGGATCCCATAGGGCCCCTCTATTTACAAAAAGCTATCCCATGGGGTCCCTGTAGAGGTCTAGAGGCATCCTATTGGGTCCTTGTAGGGATCCAGAGGGACCCCTATATGATCCTTATAGGGATCTACAGCGATCCCAGAATGCCCCTGAAAGGGGCCCACAGGGATCACATAGGGTCCCTGTAGGGATTTAGAGGGACCCCATGGGGACCTTGTAGGGAGCCCCAGGGATCCCATAGGGTCCTTATAGGGATCTACAGCGATCACACAAGATCCCTGTAGGGATCCAGAGATCCCATAGGGTCCCTGTATGGGCCCACAGGGATCCCACATGGTCTCTGTAGGGATCCACACGGATCCCATAGGGTCCCTGTAGGGGTCGACAGGGATCCTATACGGTCCGCGTACGGACCCACAGGGATCCCATAGGGTCCTTGTGGGGATCCACAGGGATCCTATCCATAGGGATGCTCTAGGATCCCTATAGGAATCCATAGGGATCCTCTAGGCCCGTTGTAGGGACCCATAGGCATCCTATAGGGCCCCTGTAGGGATCGATAGGGATCCTCTCGTATCCCTGCAGGGATCCATGGGGATCCTCTAGGATGCAGGGATCCATAAGGATCCTCTCGTATCCCTGTAAGGATCCATAGGGATCCTCTGGGATCCCTGTAGGGGTCCATAGGGATCCTCTAGGACCCCTGTAGGGGTCCACAGGGATCCTCTAGGATGCTTGTAGGGATCCATTGGGATCCTCCGTAGGATCCCTGTAGGGGTCCACAGGGATCCTCCAGGATCCCTGTAGGGATCCACAGGGATCCTCTAGGATCCCTGTAGGGATCCATAGGGATCCTCTGGATCCCTGTAGGGGTCCAAGGGATCCTCTAGGATGCTTGTAGGGATCCATTGGGATCCTCCGTTGGATCCCTGTAGGGGTCCACAGGGATCCTCCAGGATCCCTGTAGGGATCCACAGGGATCCTCTAGGATCCCTGTAGGGATCCATAGGGATCCCCTTGGATCCCTGTAGGGATCCAATGGGATCCTCCAGGATCCCTGTAGGGGTCCAGAGGGATCCTCCAGGATGCTTGTAGGGAGCCACAGGTACCTTTAGGATGCTTGTAGGGAGCCACAGGGATCCTCTAGGATGCTTGTAGGGATCCACAGGGATCCTCTAGGATGCTTGTAGGGATCCACAGGGATCCTCTAGGATGCTTGTAGGGATCCACTGGGATCCTCTAGGATGCTTGTAGGGATCCACAGGGATCCTCTAGGATGCTTGTAGGGATCCACAGGGATCCTCTAGGATGCTTGTAGGGATCCACAGGGATCCTCTAGGATGCTTGTAGGGATCCACAGGGATCCTCTAGGATGCTTGTAGGGATCCACAGGGATCCTCTAGGATGCTTGTAGGGATCCACAGGGATCCTCCCTAGGATGCTTGTAGGGATCCACAGGGATCCTCTAGGATGCTTGTAGGGATCCACAGGGATCCTCTAGGATGCTTGTAGGGATCCACAGGGATCCTCTAGGATGCTTGTAGGGATCCACAGGGATCCTCTAGGATGCTTGTAGGGATCCACAGGGATCCTCTAGGATGCTTGTAGGGAGCCACAGGGATCCTCTCAGATCCCTGTAGGGTCCTTGTAGGGATCCAGAGGGATTCTATAGGGTCCCTGTAGGGATCCACAGGGATTCTAGAGGGTCCCTGTAGGGATCCACAGGGAGTCTAGAGGGTACTTGTAGGGATCCACAGGGAGTCTATAATGTCCCTGGGGGGATCCACAGGGAGTCTAATAGAGTCCCTGGAGGGATCCACGAGGATTCTATAGAGTCCCTGGAGGGATCCACAGGGATTCTATAGAGTCCCTGGAGGGATCCACAGGGATTCTATAGAGTCCCTGGAAGGATCCAGAGGGAGTGTATAGAGTCCCTGGAGGGATCCACAGGGATTCTATAGAGTCCCTGGAGGGATCCACAGGGATTCTATAGAGTCCCTGGAGGGAGTCTATAGAGTCCCTGGAGGGATCCACAGGGTTTCTATAGAGTCCCTGGAGGGATCCACATGGATTCTATAGAGTCCCTGGAGGGATCCACAGGGATTCTATA